GTGTTTTGCAGATAAATAAACTTTTTTATATGGTTTTAAATCATTCATTTGGGCTATTATAAACTTAGCAAATAAATCTGAATCATCTTTGTTAAAAGAATTTTTATACTTTTCTTGTTTTCGAAATCTTTTATAACTCTTGGAGTATAATGAATGAATTCTTTTAGTGTACTGCTGTTTTTTAAATCTTGAGGTCATAATTTTCTTAAAATTTGAATCTATTTCTGCTTCGTCAGTAATCTGAAATTATATTAATCAAATTTTGTATTTTTTATTCTTAAATTTGTTTAGAGAAATGGTTTTTTAGTGTTGSTATATGCCTTTGTATTATGTTTAATATTAATTTAACATAATACAAAAATAAGTAGCGTTATATAAGCAATATTTGAAATATCTTAATCTAAATCATATTATATTATAATTGTATAAAAAGCTTAAAATTGTAAATTTTTCCATTGTTTTAATCTTAATAGAATATTGTATTTGTTATGTTAAAAAAGAGTTGTATTGAACTTGCTGCATCCACAGTAAGCTACCCTTTAGAGATGGCATGTATCTACTTTAAGTTTTTGTAATAATATCTTCATGTTAAAATAATAATATTATGATATATTCTTACCTCATTTGATGATTTTTTAAGTGGTTTATCTTCTGGAGGTTCTGGCACAACAGAGTTGATATTTTTCAGGAAACTGCTTGTAAAAAAATAACTACAACAATGCAATACATTTTATCCGGTATTATATATAGAACCAAATTTAAAATATTATAATATATAAAAAGCATACCATTGATTTTTTCTGTTACAAACATCAGTTTTTATTTCATTGTTGAAATTTTCATATTTATTTTCTATGGTCTCATCATGATTAGATTCATTTCCGTTATCATAACTATTTTCCAAGCTTGATAAATTTAGATATTTATTTACATTTTGATCAAAAATATTTGTACATTCTTGATCCTCAATACTATCATATTGTATAACCTCATCATTTTGATGTACAATAATATATTTGTTTAAATCATTATAGTCTTCTTCCGCAACTTCAAAATCTGTATCACTTATTTCCTGTACATAGCAATTTTTATAAATAAAAATAATTCTTGTGTAATATTTATAAATTACCTCTGGCTCAACGTTCAAAAGTATATTCGTTTGATCCACATTTTTATCTGATTTTCGTTTCCTTTTTTTAGACTAAAATAATATGTTTATTGAATTTTTTTGAATTTTAAATCTACCAGTTCTTAAACAACACACTTACCATTTCACGATATTCAATTGTTGGGACTGCTGTTATCTTCAAAACATGTTTTTTGTGATCAATTACGTAGTCAGATTTAAGAAAATGATTGCCACACATTCTACTACTCTTGCCAGGTCTCCAATTATTTCCTCTACCGGTGAAAGCTATCCAGATTGGTAGATTCTTTGGTTTTAATATCGGAAACCTTAATGAAAATGATAAGAATGAAAACGAATATATATGTTCCAAATTAATTTTCAATTCACTCTATACACCCTTCGTCCTCTAAAACATAGATAATTCATAGTTGTTTATAGTAGATTACCTGTGTAATAAAACTTTTTCCTTTGAATACAGGGTTTTGCAACGAATCACGCTGCACTTATTCACCATATCGAACGATTTACTTTTAATTTWAAACAGAATGGTAAAAGGTTTTACTAGGTATTTCTCTTATTTATTAAAATTTCATGACCGAAAGTATTTTGTACATATTACATTGTATGGCCATTCGGAGGGTTGTAAATTCTTATCATCGGATAATGCCACAATTTCATGGAACAAAAACCAAACTATCGTTTCATTCATTGAAACCCAGGTGGATGATAAGGTTAGGTACGGACTGGAGGTCATAAGAGATGGGCGACGTGAGATCTGGTCCTTTAGGGTTCACGAGAGCTGTTATAATAGTCTGTGCATTTGATAACCGGTTTATCCTCGAAGTAGATGGTGACAGATTAGGTGATGTTCGATTATCCCTTACACCAGTGATTCCCAACCTTTTTTACCCATAACGGCGCACTTTATCATTTTAAAAATTTTCACGGCACACAAATAAATAATAATGAATATACAATATGATGTCATAATATTGATATATAATACATTTTTTTATTTATCATTTTAATGATACAAATTTAATGTGATATTTAAGACTGGTATTTTTTACATACGTAATTCCTTTATTCGGGGTGAAACAGCAACAAATCCGGTTCAACATTTTTCAAATGATTTCTACTACTTGTTTTTATATTGTTCAGAGCAGGTTGCCTGTTCACAAAAGTACGATGTGGAAAATGGTAATAATAGCTGTATCTTTCCATGTGRACATTTTATAAATTTTTATTTTTAGGAGATTTCTATTACACAATTACAATGTAAGACACAAATTATACGGCACACCCAAATAATTTCGCGGCAAACTTTGTGCCGCGGCACGGTGGTTGGGAATCCCGAATCCCTGCCTTACACCTTTCTCGAGGACTAGCGAACCTGTGGTAAATGTCTCGTTTCGTCCATGATTTGGCTTATTAGTTTATTCCAAATATTACTTGAGTCACTAAATCACGTTGACTACCATTAGAAGAGCAAGCTTATGCAGTCTATGCAGCTTTATATAATAAATTACCACCGTAATCATTAAGCTATTATATAAATAATAAATATTCATTTTTAAATACAGTTAAAAAATGTTTTTTATTTATGAACCATCCCTTGAGTCAAAATTTGAAGTTTCTTCCAATTAGGATGTATTTTCAGAAACGTTTCAAATAGTTATTTTTAAGAGGAAATATAAATATTTGACATGCATTAAAATTTTTAGTGATGGTCGACCCGTGGAACGCAAATGTATTCCCTGTGACCGGTCACAATATTTTTAAATAAAACAAAATATTTAAAAAAAAWWAAATAAAATAATTTCAAAATAAGATTTTTTTTAAATTTATGATTTCTTTTAAAAATTCAGTACTCATGGTTGTAACTGCGCTATTTTCTGTCACGGATTTTAAAATAGAAATTTTATGATTTAATATCATTATTACCCGTGCACTTAAAAGAGCGTACTGATCATAATAAATCTAATGCGTACTTACAATGTATGCCTTAATTCGTTATCTTTTCAATAGTCGATAAAATATGAGAAAACAAGTCCAATATTATGTAAGTATCTTACTGTATATTGTACTACATTACGTGTAAAAAATTATATTATTAATTTATGGTAAGATTATTTACTTTTATATTTGGTGGCCC